CCAACACATCTTTTTTTAAAAAAAAAAAAAAAAAAAAAAAAAAAAAAAAAATAAACTAAAAAAAAAAAAAAAAAAAAGAGAAGCAGGTTGATAGTCTGCTTCATTTTTTTTTATATTTATAATTTTTTTAATAATAATATTGTTTGTTCCATTACTTTTTAGCCGTTATAGTAAATTATTGTTATAAAGAACTCATAATTTGATATAATATAAAATAATGTTTTTTTTTATGTTTCCTCTCAGTATCTGGTTATAGAATAACAATAAAAAGTGGAAGTTGTTATCAACACAATTAAAGGCCTATTTTTGAACACACAAAATATTTTTGTGGAGCCAAAAAGCTGTGGCAAAGGCAGATTCCTATTATTACATTAATTATTCAGTGATCAATATTAATTCCACACAAAAAAAATCCTAGCTTTAATTTGCCTCTTTTAGACTACCAAAAGACAACATTATTTTTCTGGAAAAAAACTCAATTTGCTCTCCCTATCATTCGTCCTTATCATATATTATTATTAATTTCAGGCTCACAGAATATACATATTTTTTGTGTATGTTATTTTTTACCTAATTTGTGGAGCAAAACCTAACTACCACAAGGAAAAAAAACAGAAAAAAAATCTTAGTATGTAATTTAGTGATGTCAAACGCACTGTTCAGGTTGTTTGACTAAGTTTATAAGTTGATTGAATTAATTTATAAGTCGTATTTAACTTATTTACGTATTTGATATACAATTTAACCGGTGAAAACAGTTTAAAAAAAGAAAGAATTTAATGCCACTTGTGTCTTGATAATCCCACATGAATTTGACACTTGATTTGGTCTAATGATCTTATCCATAAACTTTAATTTAGTAATAATGGGTGATCACATTGTTGGGAAAATATAGGCTTTCTTTCTTGTAGTTTATTATCCTTTTGAACTTATCTTTAGTTTGCCATTCTCTTATTATTACTAGCGGAGCCAGAAATTTTAATTTATGATTTTTGAATTATAATTTTTTAGTGAATTTTGAATAGATTGCTTATATAGTTATATATATTAACTGAGTTTTTTTAATAATATAAATACATAATTTGAATAAAAATTAATGAGTTTTCTGTTACGTAACTCCTCCAATTTTATTAGGCCGTACTGTTGATGATGTTTTTTTCTGTTATTAGCGTAGTAAAAAAAAAATCATAATTTTTTTTCATGACCCGTCCTAGAAAATTGAGTTGGTAATACTTTAATTTGATTTTTAACTTTAATTTCAGCTAAACAAAAATTCAAACATCAACAACATCACGTCTAATTGGCGATAATTCAAAATTCAACCAACTAAGCTACTAAAATTCTCCCGAATAATAATATTCATTTTTCTAGCATCTCAGTATATTTTTGGAGACTTTGATACCATCTCCCAATTTTTGAGAGAGGTGTGAATAAGATTGTTTAGTTGATGCTTTAATTTGATCTTACTTGTGATTCACAAAATATTCTAATGTGCCCAATTTTTTTATGTCCACTCGAAACTTGTGATGTGCTACTTTTTTTGAGAATTCAAAGATTTTTCAAAAGTATAGTATATAGTATATACTGTGGTGCACTTAATTGGGTAGCTTACGATCAACGAAACGAGACAGTTACAAATGAGAGATCAAGGTTCGCTTTCAATAAAAACAAATAATCTAGGTTATGCGTAGGTCATGTAAAATGAAGTGTGATCAGTTGATCATATTTAATAAAAAATAATAATGAGTAGATGGAAAATTGCATGTGTTTTTCTCTTTATATGGGTTGTTTTCTACTTTTTGTCCTTTATCAATTAAAATTATGTCATTTAGAAACTAAAATCATGTCAAGACATAACTTTCAGGATATCATGATACGAAAGTATAAATTTATACCATGCGAATAGATTATTTATTACGAGAGACATAAAATAAATACCAACACAAATAAGGACAGACTGCAAATGACCCATTCAAGTGTTACTCTTGTGTTTAACTAATTATATCCAAATTCATTTTTTTCTCCAAATTAATAATAAATGACACGTATCAATTATACACATTTCAACTATGTAATTATGATATATTTACACTTTAATCGAGTTCAGGCTTGCGTTTGGATATGCGATACAAGTTATAATTTCAAATGAACATTTGGACATGTGATTTGAGATTTTAAAATTCCAAATTCAAAAACAAAGAACACATTATTCAGGATTACAAATTTTTAAAATGTAAATATCAAATCATGATTTCATCTCGCACGTCCGGATTTGTCGCCATCTCTAAATGTTCCCTTGAAGGATCAATTGTCCAAATAGGAATAGATCCAACTGGGCTGATTTTCCTTCCAATTGGATTGAGTTATGAGGAAATGACATGTATATACAACTGATAGTTATAATTAGCAATAAATAGCCCAACATTAATTAACATTTAATAGACAAATAAAAAATAAGCACAAAATGGCCCAAATTAATAAATGACATTTTAATAGTTTTTTTTTTCCCTCGTATAACCAATATCACTAAACAACAAAAATAATGAAAACATAAAATATTATATACAATACGTAACTGCCTAAAAACGTAAATTATGTATTTTCATATATTTTTTGTTCGTTACTTGATTAAAAAATTCAATTGTATACTTGATGATTGTATATAGGTAGAAGAATGGTGTATTCATTCACTTAGTATTAATATACATTTATAGCTATGTTATCCCCTCCAGTGTATACATATTAAAAAAATCAAACACTTTATGTATTCATTCACTTATCCTATGTATACACTGCATTGAAGATTTTGTTTTAATCATGAACATCATGTATGCATTGCATTCATGTATACATATCTGTGTATTCATTCTCTCAAAATTTGTATACATTCCAAATTCTTTCTTTAGTAAATGAGAATTGCACGTGGAATATAAAAATGATCAATAGCAAACACACAAGTCGAATCGGATAACGAGAAGAACTTACATGGCTTTAAATTTTAGAGTTATGGATGGAGAATCCACAAAATTAGAATTAGAATCCCCATTTTTAAGAATAATCCTAGGATAATTTTCTTAAACATGACAATTGATACCCACAATTAATTACTATTACATAAATTTTTACCTAAATTAGATATAACTTTCAATTTCAAAAATTAAAACCCAAAAAAAAATTGAACGACAATACAAGAGGGGATCAAACATAGGCGAGCAATTAGAGAAATTGACGGGTAGACATCAACAAACCATCAAGAATTTAAAAGCGAAAGAGAAAAAAATACACTATGGACGAATATTTTTATAGAATTCAATATGTAAAACTAATAAACAAGAAAGTAAATCATCTTTTATTCAAAGTAATGAAGAAGAAGAATTGAATAAATATTTACATAATCAATAAAAAAAACATCATTCAAAAGAATCGTGTGTATGGGAAAGAAGAAGAAAAAAAAGGCAGAAAAAAACCACTTCCCAATAAAAAAGGACATCATGCTGCCACCTCCTAAAATTATTTAATTTAATTAAAAAACTTACCCAACACGTGGGCTACTAATTGCAAAATTTAATTTTTAAAAAGTACTTTTTTGTTCAAGAAAATAAAGAATGGCTATATGTTGCCAATTAGTAAAATGGGATGTCATGCTGTGTCATTTTTTCTTGAGTTGTTAAGGGGCTCAAAGCCCAATTGTTTATCCAGCCCAAGCCCAAATCGGAGCCCTATTCGTGCCCAAAAATTTCTGGAGAAATTAACGACAACTGAAGTTTCTACCTCACCGGCGAAAGTTGCAGCTAGGCGTAGACGAGGAGCCATGGCGGAGGCGAACCAAAATACGAACCCGAATCCAGCCCCTAGCGGCGGCGAAGCTCCACCGAATGTGACTATTTACATCAACAACCTCAATGAAAAAATCAAGCTAGAAGGTACTCCGTACTTGTCTCGAATGTTTACGCAGAACATTATCTTCGTGTTTCACTGTGTATAAAATGTGTTATGTATATTGATGGTGATTGAATTGTAGAGCTGAAGAAATCGATGCACGCTGTGTTCTCACAGTTTGGTAAGATACTTGAGGTTTTAGCATTCAAAACCCTAAAGCATAAAGGACAGGCGTGGGTAGTGTTTGAGGAGGTTTCTTCTGCTAGCAATGCACTTCGCCAGATGCAGGGTTTTCCTTTCTACGACAAGCCTATGGTACTGGATTGTAGCTTGTTACTGGATTCTAGATTGTTACTGTTGCAATGTGTTTGCTGCAATTCTAATTCATTGGCACAAAAATAATCAACTTTACTATCAATCCATCAATTATACCTCTCAAACTAGTGGGGGTCAGCTATATGTAGGTTTATATTGGTTGATTTTATCATAATTTAGTCACTGTGAATCCACCATTTTGTCTTTATACTGACTTTGGGGATGGATATGGTTTGTGACCATAGATGGAGCTAAAGAAAATTAAATATTCTAGTGTGGCTTTGATTATTTATTTATGTTATTTTCTTGAAAAAACTAATGATCAGTAGGGAAGGTATCATAACCATATTTATATGATCCTAGAACATATTGATTGCTCAAGCATTTAGGCATCTTACCTATGCTTAATTAGAGAATGCTATTATTCATGGTCAAACTTTGTACTCCCTCCGTTTGAATTTATGTGACACAATTTGACTCAACACGGAGTTTAAGAAAAAAATGAAACTTTTGAAACTTATAGACCTAAATATGCCAAAACATTTGTGTCACTATAAGACTTCTAAAACTTGTGGTCTTAAACATGTCATATCATTTGTGTGTCTCTAAGAATTTGTTATCAAGAGTGAATGAGAAGTTAAAGGTAGATTGTTCCCACGTATAGAAATGTGTCATTTCCTTGGAACGGATTATAAATGAGTAACAGTGAGAGTATAGTCTGTCTTTGGGGATGTGATGGATATCAGAAGTAAAGATGTTAGGACTTAGGAGTAAGGATGAGTGTTTTTGAGGTCTTCAAACCAGTTGCCCTATATGGAAAGAAGAACTGAACTTCTTTTGGCATTTTTTGTTTTAGCAAACTACTAGATGAGCTTAATTGAAGAGATATGTTCAATGATGATTCATACAGTCAATTGCAACTTCCTTGGGATTGATTTCTTTTCATAACCCCAATACATGTTGTATGCATATACTAGAATAGCATGATAAAAATCAAAGATTATGTCCAATTTGAAGCTATCTTGGTTGTTCCCTCATTACTTCTCAAAGGATTTGGAGCATGTTTGTCGTAATCTAGCAAACAACTACACAAAATTTATCAAGCAAAGAATGTTGTCTCAATCTTAAATTATTTGTCTACAAGAATCCTTTGCATTTCCGCTTTATTTAAGTTTCTAATAACTTAAATAATTTGATTTTAAAGGATAGTTTGGCTAAAACTAGATGCTCTTTTGGATATTACAATTATCCTATACTGACATACAAGTCTCTGACCAGATTAAGGAACTCCTGATAATCAGCAAACCTATCACACTTTTTGATTCAAGATATTTGATATGTTAGAATGATTGACTGATAAGGGTACATTAGTTAGTTCGTTGGCTAATGAATGAGGCTAAGATCCGGCATAACCAAATGGCAAGGTTAGCGGTTTTTAGTCTCATTATTTGGAGGTAGATGGAGGATATATAAAAACCGTGTTGACTCATAAGATTCTATATTTAATAGCACCTGTATATTATCATAGTTAGCCTTCTCTCCCATGAATTCTCCGTCCAACCAAATTGGATCTGCCTTTGCAAATCTTTCTGCAGTTTCTGCAAAGTGTATTTAGAACTTATGATGTGATCACCTGAGGTAGAAAACTTGATGGGTTCGGACAACCCATTTTGTGTTACCAACCCCAGTGAAACTCCCATTACAGGTCTATTAATGGAAGAGTAACAACAACAACTAAGGCTTATTCCCAACTAGTTGAGTATTATATATATAGTTGCTTTTGTTGTGTTGTATCCTAGCTAAGTCCCAATTGATTATGTGAGGTTACAGGTCTTTTCTGAGACAAGTTCTCTTTTTATTTTTAATTGACCTTGTTCCTTTTAGCACATTCTATCATTGTACTGTAATATCCATGGACCAGAGGTGAGATGTCTATGTAGGACATGATCAATCCTCGATATGTGCTACTTGCATGTATGTATTGGTCCATAGATGGAAGAATGGAGTCATAATTGATAATTGTAGTCATAATCTGCTTTGAACATTTAATTGTTTCAATAAACAACTGTATCTCCTGGTCTCAGAGATTGGTTAAGATAATCCTTGCCAAAGATATTCCGACCTGGAAAATTATTTTTGTCATCATCCAAATGAAGATATTCTGAAATGTACATGCTGCTTTAGCATCACGGGAGCTGTGACTTTGCAAACTAGACTTCTTTTAGACTTTAGTTTCAATTGTGTACTAGATGCATATGTCTCATCTTCACTTGAGTTTAAGAGTGCTTTTCCATGCTAGTTCTAGGTGTCACCTCATTACTTGCTGTTTTTTTTAAAATTGTTTTGATGAATACGGTTAAAAATTATTGCTCTCCATAGGCACCCAAGAAGTGCAAATAGTTGCAGGGAAAAACCCAAACACATGCAAATAGTTGCAGGAGAAAAACTCAAATGCCCACAAAGTTGAGTAACTCAAGTGAAGTGTGTATGTGATGTACATTAATTACGTTACACCAAAAAGACAAAATACAAACATCTATATTTTAGTTGTCTTTTGTTCTTTTGCAAAACATGTTACCATCTATATTTTGTTGTTTTGTCCTCATAAAATAGTTGTTTTCTGTTCTTGCATGGGGTGCTACCATAACTACTGATGATTCACATGCAGAATGGTTAAGATGTTTATGGATATTGTTTTGCATACTTTGGTATTGTTACATCATACATGCTACTCAGTCCATTTCCTCATTGAGTAAAACAACTGGTTTGAGTGATTTTTCTCAATGTTTACTTTTAAATGCAATGCTACTCTTTGCACTTACATATTAGTATGTTACGAGGTTCAGCAAAGTGCATATAATGCTATACAATGTGGCCACGTATTTGTTTGTGGTTCTTGCATGCGCATGCTGTGTTCATCTGTTGATTACTTGAGCAAAATTAATGTTGCTTCTAGATATGAGGTTGGGGTTTCATACCTGGAGTCGCTTTTTTAGTTCCTGAATTAACTTCTTTAGCTCAATTATGTCTTATGATAGCTACTGTTATATGTTTTTTTGGTGTACTATAGATTGGTTACATAATTTTCTGACACACATATATGTCTATTAGAGAATACAATATGCAAAGACGAAATCTGATGTTGTAGCAAAAGCTGATGGTACTTTTGTTCCCCGAGAAAAAAGAAAGAGGCATGAGGATAAAGGTAAGTTCTTTCATTTGAAAATTTTCTAGTTCCAATATTCGTTTGAATCCCTAGAGAAGGTTGGACTATACATCTAAAACATGTTACTTCATAGAGTTTGCTACATACTGTTTGCTATAAGCTACATAAAATAACAGGGAGATGAATTTTACCCTCCAACTTCTGTACTTGTGATTAGCTTCCCTGTCCCCCCTCCCCTACAACCCACTCACTCCCCCCAAATAAAAAAGTAAATAAAGTACAATTACCTGACTATTGCAATTTTATTAGCTATTTATTTACTGTGATCCTGCAGGGAGAAAGAAAAAGGACCAGCAAGATTCTAATCAAGCTGGAATGGGTCTGAATCCTGCGTATGCTGGTGCTTATGGTGCAGCACCTCCTGTAAGCATTTTCCCTACTTTTCAGAAACTTTGTTGAGTTTCCTGTTTTCTGCGTCATATATATTGAATTAATGAGATTGTATCATCTGTTTTCCTGTCACTACACTACACGAAGTTAATCAGGTGATGTGATTTTGATTTTGTTTTGAAAGACGTTGTCTGATTTTTCCTATTAAGCACACAACACATTTCTTGGGGTGAAAAGAAATCGGGAGCAATACTTGAAAGTGCTCCATGGTGCATGGAAAGTGGAAGTTACGTAGTTGGGAGTTAGAAGTTTGTTGCTGGGTTCTTGATTAGCTTGTGATTTGTCTCTCTCATTTTGGTGAAATCTTGATGTATCAAGTTAAACACCCTTCTAATGCACATAGGTTTAAAATGTAGTCAATTAGTGCTTATTTGTGATTTTTTTAGATGCTTTTTACAAGAAACTTTCTAAAATGTAATTGTTTCCCCTTCTCCAATTGCTGCAGTTCTCACAAATACCATACATGGGTGGAGCTAAAGCTGCAGTACCGGAGGCTCCTGCTCCTCCAAATAGCATATTGTTTGTGCAGAATCTTCCTCACCAGTCTACTCCAATGATGCTACAAATGCTCTTCTGCCAATATCCAGGTTTCAAGGAAGTTAGGATGGTTGAGGCAAAGCCTGGAATTGCTTTCATAGAATATGGAGATGAGATGCAATCCACTGTTGCTATGCAAGCCCTGCAAGGATTCAAAATTACCGCCGAGAATCCCATGTTGATTACATATGCAAAGAAGTAGATAAGACTATATTTTAGCTGCTGTCTGTAGAATTAAACATCAACTTTCAACTAGGATTTGAGTGTTGCAATTTTAAGCTTTATGATCCTTGGTTATCTAAGTTTAGCCGTGTATTTGCTGTGTACTAGCAGCACCTTGTAATTTTGATGTGCTTCTATAGACCATTTACCATTTTTATGAAGTGTCAGTCTCATTTGAACATTATTTGGTGGAGAAAAAACAATCTCTTTGCCTCTATAGTCTACATTGTTGAAGTGATCAGTGTTTCAGTTATCGCAATATCCATGAATGACTTCTTACTACTATCAGAGAAGCAATATACATATATATATATTTTAATTATTTGGTATTCGGAATCCACTTGTTTGATTAGTTCAAGTTCGCATTGTATAAGTCTCAGTCGTTCTATTTCTCAAATCAAAACTACTGGAATATATAGTACTCTTTCTGAGTTCTGCCCTAGTTTAAATTATGTTTTTTCAAGATACAAGTTAAACTGCCCAGTTAAATATCATATAATAGTACAAAACAGAATGTTTGGGGCGTTACAGAAGGGTTGTTGACCTCTTTATAAAGGTTCCATTCTCCTCGGAAAATCTTAATAGCTTAGTTGACGGAAGGTTCATTCCGTCTTATAGCCCATTTCTCTAACCCGACCCGTTAAAATTCGGACTCTGTCCAAACCCTTTCCCGCTTTTCCCCAACATTCCCAGCAACGATCCTTCAAACTTTTTAAAATCAAAATCTAAAATTCTTCAGTTAACTTCAATTCACCTTTACCCTATTTTGTTCAACTCAATTATGCTGCACGAACTCTTACTTGCCCTGTTGGGTTACACCGGAGATCTCATTATCGACGTCAGAGAACAACAAGAACAATCTGGGGCCCAAATTCCTTTATCACCAGATGCACCCATCTCTCAAGAACCCACATTTAAGCTTGCGCCTGATGTCTCCTTCGTTCAACCCAGTGAAAGGTTTGAAATTTATTGTCTTTTGGGTAATGTAATTCATTTTTAGTCTGTTTATGAGATTTGTAACCTCAGTTGAAGATGTAAGTATCCATCTTTAAGCTTGCCCTTGATTAATATTTCGTCCAACCCCCGCTGAAAGGTTTGCTATTTGTTGTGATTCCGGCCTTGCGCTTTCAGAAAAATCATAATTTACTTTTATTTTATTTGTGGTATACAATATGTAAAGGAACCATAGTGTTAGAGAACCTCAAATGATTGATTTTGCAGTAAAACTAGTTTAAGTGGTGGGAAATGGATAGTGAGGATTCATATAGCTAGCCTGAACTAGTTTAATTGAGTCATACGAGTAGTTGTTTTTTTGTAAACACGGAAAGAATTCATTTCCATTTGATGGTTTTAAATATATAGAACCTCACTATGTTAGGAAGTATCTGCATATCTAGTTAAATAATACTATGTGGTTTTCTTTGTTTAGTTCATAAAATTGTTCCAATGATTTCTTGGGTTGTGAAGTCTAGGTGCTTCTTGTGATTTTGGTTTTAGGCGCAGCGATGTCTTTGAGAGGATTATTGCTTAGGAAAAAAATCAGTTCCTTTTTTTTATGGAAGATATAGAATCTTGGTGCATATTTAGACTGCCTTTTCTGCTTATCTAGCTAAATAGTATGCAGCATTTATCATTTAAGCATATAAATGCTACTATGAGACTAGGGCCTTTGATGTATTACGTTTATAATTATTTGGCTGTAGTGTGTTGTGATTTTGGGTTTGGGTGCAGGGATGTCATTGAGAGGATTATTACCCTAGGATTTTACTACAGGGAGCTAGATCGCTTTGCAGCCAAGTCGCGTAATTTAAGTTGGATTAGGTCCCCCAATGAGTCACTTCTGTTGAGGACATCCCAACTATTGAAAGGAAAAGCATCGAAGCAGAGTGTGTACAGGAGGGCCATTGCGAATGGTATTGTTGAGGTGTTGTCAGTTTATAGGTCTGCTGTTCTTCACATTGAGCAAAAGTTACTATCTGATTCACTGCCTATTGTGGCAACACTTACTCAAGGCCTCAATAAGGTGAGTTGTATGTTTCCTCTATGTAATAGACTTTGCTTTTGTTCTTCTTTGCTTATGATCACATTATTGATGACTATATGTCTACTGTGAAAAGAGGCCAGTAAAAGCAGAAATGTAGACCATCACTTTAATACGTTGTCATGGAATTCTGAGTTTGAATCATAGACCCGTATGAGGGTTGTTCTTTTTCATTTGCTTAAATTTCTACGATAAAAACTGGACTGAGAAATTGTTAGATTAGCTGGTCACTTTGGCTGTATCGAGTCTTCTCTTGCATGTTTCTTCTGGTACAATAGCTCCATGTTTCTATATCCTAGTCAATCGTAAGCGAGCTTGCCTGATTTTAAAGTTTCTGTTTTCCTTTTTCTTTTTCTTGTACATCTCTTCTTCCTGAACCTGCATTTCTCTGCTTTTTCACTAATTTTTAGTTCTTTATGTGGCACTTATTTTGCTCTGATCAAGGCTTGATGGTGCTTCCTCAAACTTCATATTATTCTTGTAGCCTGTTTTTCCAAGCTTAATTTTCTTGGTCTTCCTACTTCAGTACATTCAATGAACTTGTGTTTGTTCCTTAATTGACTTGCTAACATATCTTATTTTAGTTCTTCGTTCTTTTGCCTCCTCTGTTTGAGTTGATTCTAGAGATTGAACGTGATAACATTTATGGAGGGAAACTTCTCAACCTTTTACACAAACGTTGCCACTGTGGGGTTCCTGAATTACAGACATGCATTCAGAGGTGAGCATTTTAAAACAGGAAAAGGGTCATATTTGTCCCTCTACTATTGAAAAAGTTTGAATATTTCCCTCCCTCGTATTATCAGTTTATATATGCCCTTAATATTATGCTATCGGTCCATAGATGCCCTTAATGTTATAAAAGAGGCTCAAATTTGCCAGTCCTCTGTTAACCCCATCCATTTTAGCCAAAATGACAATTCACTGCACCAACACCTTCACCATAAATACCATCACCATAAACATAAACCATCTACACACCAACACATTCCTTCTTTTTTGTTTCATGATAATTGGAAGTTTGAAATGTAAATAAATATTCCAGATTATCTTGGTATTTTAAAAGTCATATCTTCAAAACAAATATCAACTTATGAAATGATATTTCCAAAGTATGTCGAAGATTTGAACTAAGAGTTAAACAAGCATAAGAAAAATAAAAATGCCTCCTTATATACTGCCAAATGGGTGATTATAAGAACAGAATTCATACATAGCAAAACACATATCTCTAGGAGTTAAGTAATATCACATTATCAACATAGCTCCATAACAATAAACTTGAAGAGTAGCTCAACATTTGTAAACGCAAATTACGAGTAGGTTGTATGTGATTACTCAAAATCTATTTTCTAATTGTGCTGCCTCTTTTTCTTTTATTGTGTGTAAATCTGCATGCAACAGAAATTCAATTCAAATATTCTACACTAATGTGGAACTTGAAATTTTAAATGATCAAGTGTGATGGCAAATTTCACAACCATTAGCTTTAGCATATGATGAGTTAGTAGTATGTAAAGAAAGGTTAATATAGTGAGTTGGAGGTGATGATACATCTGATGAAGGTGTTGGTGACTTTGGGTAGCGGTGGAAGAAGAAGGATTGGTGTAGTGTGTCTTTTGGCTAAAATGGATGGGGTTAGCGGAGAAAGGATAAATTTGAGCCATTTTTAAATCATTAAGGGCATATATGGACCAAAAGTGTAACATTAAGGGCATACACGGACTGATAGTATAAAGGAAGGCAATATTAAACCTTTTTCAATAGTGGAGGGGCAAATATTACCCTTTTCCCTTAAAAAACTTTATCACATTTTTTTGCCGTCTCGGCTGTTTTTTCTGTTTCTTTTTTTGTGGATTATCTATTTGTCATGGTTGTTGCCAATTGCCATACTTCTCAAAAGTTGCTTACAAGTCCAGTCTTTGAATACTATGCTAGTAGTGGTTGTACAATTGCCATTTTCCTTCTGATAAGGCATGCAGATGTCTTCACAGAAAAGCACACCTACTGATGGGGCATTTTGCGAGAAATTTAAATTGATATCATTAGTCAAGTCTTGGTCCTTTACTAGCACTTGTGTTAACGTGTGCATCTGACCTCCCCCTTTCTAGTGCCTGCATTGGTTTATCTTCCTGTCTAACTCCGCCCCCCTTCCAAAACATTCCAAATTAAAAGTAAAGGTGGAGTAACATAGTGTTATTAACTCCACTTTTTCGGTTGTATCACTATAATGGAGGTAAGTCATAACTCATCACGGTTTTCTGTATCCTCACTGACGCGGGAAAGGATTTCTGTCTAGATAAGTCATTCTTCTTAACTTCGTCTTTTTCCGAGTATTATCAAGAACTTCATGACCAAAATATGATCAAAGATAAGAGAGTTGAATGTGGGTAAAGATGCTTTTGATAAATTAGTCATTTGGAAGTGCAAAAGTGTCTTCCGTTCACTGATAACAGTTTATACTCAAAGTGGACACAACCAAAAAAAATTGAGACAACTTATTCTCTTTGAAAGTTGATTGAGTTTTACTAGTCTCAGGAATTTTTTCAAAATAGTGCCTTAGAATTTTACATATTCTTTTTTTTTTCTTCTGTTATTGAGGATGCAAATGTTTACCCTCCCTGCAAGAATGTAGCCATCCGTTGGATTTTTCTTCTTACAATATAATTTGACTAAGTTGGAAAAGAACTATTAGTGGAATCAGAAGCTGCAAGCTCTATGCTGGTATCTCTGCTAGTACTGTAGCTAATGGATAAAAAAAAACGATTGTTCTCCTCTTTACACGTGTTTCCTTTTCTTTTTCTTGAAGCATAGGCTTCTATGGCATGGGCATCAGGTCATGTACAATCAGCTTGCTTCTTGGGTGGTTTATGGAATTCTTCATGATCCATATAAAGAATTCTACATCAGCAGGTAAGCACTGAGACGGGCGTCCTTAATTCTATTTGATAATTTTAAGCTTGTTTCAGCTTGGCATTTATCAAAATTTATTGATTAATAATATTTTTTTGATAAAGATGATATTAGTCCATTGTTTGATGTGGATCGTTCAGTTAAGGGTGTACGATTGTGAGCTGTGTGTTTCAGTAGATCCCCCAACTTGTGTAGAACTTATCATAC